CACGTGGATATTTTGAAAAATTAAAGTTATGATATACTTATAGCTAAATAATTATGTGCTTTGCAATGAATAGAAAAATATACCAAGGTGTATTTTAATTTAATATAGGTTTAGTAAGACATTGTTATTTATTATCAGCATTATCTTATATTATGGATATCACAGTCATTATAAAATAAATTATAACAGATAAAACATAAGTAGATATGTACCATTCACGTCATCGTTTTGCATGAATACTTCATAGTTTTTTTCTATTGCAACGCACGAACATATTTACTAGTAAACATAATATATGCAGGTGACACCTAATTTGGCTCCGTGCATGCTGTGGTGTCACTGCTGTTGTGAAAACCAAACAGCGAAGGAAAAAACAAAGGCTCTATTCGGCTAGCTGGAAAAATGACTGATGCTGATGCTGATTTGTTGTGAGAGAAAAATACTGTTATTTCGCTGAAACGATAGGGCTGATAAGCTCTAAGTGAACAGGGTCAAAACCTGCCTGCCCAAAGTGGCGGCGGTTGGGCAGGGGCAGGGCCAGCGCCAACGAATTGCGTTCGGTCGATCCATTGTCGCAGTGGAAACGTAGTCGTCTCTCGCTTTTGCGTGATGAATGAACAGTAGAAGCACTAGATGAGCGAAGCGATAAGGAACCGAGAAAGCGAGTTAAATTGGTAACATTCCCATCAGGCGCGTCAGATCTCAGACGATGACGTAAGAAGTCCTGGTAGTGGCTCCGTGGTCCGTGTCTGTTTCTAAACATGTACAGGCCCCAGTCGTCGCGCGGCCGTGGTCGTCCGCGTCCGTGGACGACGTGCTCGATTTGATAGATACGCGGCCGGTGCTGGACGGCTAGCTGGTGCTGCCCTGCCTACTACTCCGAACGTCGTCGGATCGGAGCTGTTTCTGCGTTGCTGCCAGCTCCGATCCGATCATGCATGCATCTCGCCGACCTCGATCGGTGGCAGGCAGGGAGCCCAAGTGCACAGCCGGCCGTCTCTGCTCCTGCCTGCCGCTGCAGAAGTGACAAAATCGAGTGCTGTTCCATGGAAGTTCCGTTTCCGGCGACGGTGGGACTAGTCGTTGTGGGCGTGTTCTTTACTGCCACGGATTCACCGTGCAAAAACAGGGCGGGTTCACGCAATTGTTCCCTGCGTTGGGGCAGTCGTCACTCGTCAGCGCACCTGCGAGGTCCTCAGTCGTCTGTGTTGCTGTCCTGTCGTCATGCTTGCCGACATGTATAGATGTCCAACGGGCCGGCCGACCTGGCACGGCACGGCAACGGGCCGGCACGACCCGATGGGGGTTGGGCCGACAAGGCACGACGTGCCCTGCGGGCCATGCCGCCATGGGCTTCGTGCCTAGCCGATGGCCCAGGCACAGTCTGTTGGGCCGTTTTTCGTGCCGGGCCGGCCCGAGAAGCACGGCTAATCCAGCGTGCCGGGTCGGCCCAAGGCCCACTACACCAACAGAGAGAGAGGGGGAGGCCAGGTTGCCGTCGTTGCGAAGCCAGTGGACAATGCGACCTTTCCATCCCCGACCTCTCCGCACCTCGACTTGGCTGGATCCACGAAGGATGAGCGATGAGGAGGCCGGATCCACGGCGAACGAGGCCGGATCCGCGTAGAGGAGGCATGGGGAGGAGCAGCAACGCATGGCAGTGAGGAGGAGGTGGCCACCGTCGGCGGCAGTGCAGGGCGGTGAGGAGGTGGTAGCCACCGTCGGCGGCTCGCTGCTGAGGGCCGTGGAGGCGAGTCTAGAGAGTGCGGTGGTCGGCAGGGAGGCGAGTCGTGCGGGGAGGCGACGTGGCAGGCGAGTCACGACGTCGACTCGCATGACCGCTGACCATGAAAATGTAGAAGAGGCGGCAATGGTTGGAGTGGAGGTGGGAGGTGGCGGCAGGAGGAGAGGAGCCAGCATACAAGCACTCTGGCCGGGCCATGAGTCAAGAAGAGAGAGGGAGCGAGCGAGAGCGGGAGGAGGCGAGGCGAGCGATCGGGCGAGAGAGAGAGCAGAGTGCGGTGGCGGGGGGAGAGGGTAGGCGGTGGGGTTAAGAGAGGAGGGCGGCTCTTTGGGTTGTTGTTGGGCCTTTGGCCATTTTCCTCACCAAAGCTTCACGGGCCTTTGGACATTTTACTGGCCGAGCCCGTGCCAGCCAGCGTGCTCAGGTAAGGCCAGTGCACGGCTCGCCGCTTCCTCGGGCGTGCAGCAACCTGGGCCCGCTAGCCATCGGGCTTGGGCTGGGCTGATGGGCTCGGGCTGCATGCACATCTATACCGACATGAGCCGGCCCGGAGGTCAATCATTCTCCGGGACAATTTCACCGGATTTTCACTTTCCACAGTTCTGCAGGTATTGGTTCCCATGTGTTTCCTTGTTCACTACAGTATACAATAAAAATAGTTTTTGCCAACGATATTTACCGTCGGTTTTTATTAAAGTCATTGGTGATGATTTTCACTAACGGTTTGTTATACGAACCCTCGATGAAAAATGGATCCATTTTCACTAGCGGTTCATCGTACAAGCCGTCGGTGGAAAGCAGACCCAATTTTTACTGATGGTTTGTACAACAAGTTGTTGGTGAAAACATGTGCCTCTCTCTATTTGCGTGTGCTTCTTGAGAGTGGCTGAAAAATGGGGCCCACACACCCATGTGTCATAGAGTAACTTGTGTCCGTGCAAGGATATGGATCGATTGGACCACCAACCTTTATCTCTCTCACACAAGCCTCTATCTCTTCTCCCTCCCTCTCTTTCTTTACTCCTCCCCCCTCTCTCCGATGGAGGGTGACCGACCACGACACGGGTGCCCAAGCATGGCAGCCTGGGCCCTGGCATGATCCGCGCAAGTGGTCGAGCTCGACGGCCTCGGGCACCCTGACACGACGGAACATAACAGTTAGACTTGGCGGAGCAGACCCGAGCGCGGTGGACCCGGTGTGCCAGCGACCAAGTGTGGCTGGACTAGGTGGGGTGGCCTAGGTGCGACAACCACCTCGAGCGCAGCCGGCCCGAGGGATGCTCTGGCATGGTGGAACCCGATGCGGCGGCCACCCCTCACCAAACCTTGAGCGATGACATCGGTCTAGGTGCCTTCATCTCCCTGCTCTCTCTTCCTCTCTTAGATCTCTTCGGATTTTGCTCACCCTCTCTCCGTCCCTCAGATCTGGTGACAACGGCGGGTTGTGGAAAAGTTAAGTTCTTTATAAGATGTGTTTTACAGAAATGGATATCTGGCTCTATGAAATGGCTAGATAGCGAGAATACATATCTATAAATTTATATTGAGGTATTTTTTTAAAAAAAGAATTATAAAAGATATATAAAATAAATTAATCAAAATTTGCCAGCAGTCTATAATACTACGGTAGTTCGATTCGAAAATGCTACTGTCGACACGAGCGTGTGAGCCTATATTGGTGGGCCGATTCCACCTGTTTTCATGTGGGCTGACCACACATGCAGTGCACCTAGAGGCTGGAGCTATGGGCTGAATCGCGGAACCGTTGAAGCAAGTAAATCAATGTTTTTCAATAGTCCGTTACGGTCTTCGATCAAAATTTAAAACTCTGTTTCGGGCTGCAATGCGCTGAAACCGCCTGCATCACGGACCGTGACTGGGATGTCCTGGGCCAAATTCGACTTCGGCTGTGCTGCGAACGCAATCTGTTCGACGAAATGCCATGAGCAGCGTCGTGGGTGCGTGGCGTGCGGCTGCTTGCCATCAGCGTCCAGCACTGTCGTTGCTCCTCGATTTTGCTCACCAAACCTTGTAAAGCTCACTTTGAGGAGCTTATGGCTTTTTGACTTCTGAGTTTTTTTTTTGGCTTTTGGAAGGTCTAAAAGTTCTCAGGAAGTCCAAACAAACAGACCCTAAATACAGTACCTGTACTTGATGACTAAACAAATGGAGGAACATAACCATTTGCAACTTGCAAAGTCAGAACCAAGCGCATAGCCGCAGACCAATTCCAAAAAGGGACCATTTTTAAAATGACATGGCTATGAATATGTCTTGGTTGTAGTGGATTATGTTTCAAAATGGGTGGAAGCTATGCCAAGCCTATGTGCTTCAATAGAACAGTCAATTGAAATGATGAGGGGAGTTATCTTTCCAAGATATTGTGCTATAAGAGTAGTGATTATTGATAGAGTTTCTTATTTTATTGGAGACATTTTAACCATATTCTTAATTATCCAAGTTGGGAATTGAGAACGAAGGCACCATTCCTTATCATCCACGGAACAATGAACAATAGAGACATCAAATCAACAATGGAAGAATATTTTGAAGAAGACAATGGTTAACAGGAGGAAAAGATTGGTATAAGAAATTGAGCAGATCAATATGGGCTTATTATAGGACCCCTCTCAAGACACCACCTATTATGACAACGATATTATGACAAGTAGAGCTAGAATATATAATAAGCCTTATTGGGCTACCAGAGAGATGAAATTAAATTTTGATGGCGTGCAACTGAAAAGAAGGATTCACCAAATGGTTTGATTCAAAGCCAGGATTCTAATGGAGACAAACTTCTACTATTCAATTCGAGGTTCAAATTATTTGGAAAAGGGAAAATTACAATTCACCAAACCATAGCTAAACTTTTCATTACTATATATAAGCGCAAACAATTACACACATTACATTACAACATTCGGTATATAGGTATACATCTTGGAAAATATGGAAAATCATACTACACCATTTTCTAATTTTTAAACTTTTTTCCTACTTTCCCCTTTCATATTTGGAAGTGACGCTTCGAAATTGTAACTTATAGCTCATGCTTTGAGCAGCTCACAATATAGACTGATGGTCTTGAAGAGTTTTATTCTAGTTTGCTTTTCTTAATAAGGTTTATTAGTACATTCATTCATTTATATACTGACCAAAACTTACTTATATTCAATGGTATTTAATTATTGATCACAACTACTAACGAGCATACTTTTAATACCACATGCAAGTGATCTTTTCTAGCAACATTTCATGTTTTCTTATGAAGCTGGATGTGAAAGCCATCTGGAAATCGTAGCCCGGGATAGAGCATCATCGTCCCTTTGCTGAGGGCTTTCCATCTATATTCAAGAAAAAACATGGTATTTTTATCATCGTTATACAGTTTGAGGCTTTTGTACATCATCTGCTGTATGGTCCAGGTATATTCATATTCTTTTACCTGTAATTGGTGACCAAGCAGTGGAGGAACATAGCCATTTGCAACTTGGCAAACTCAGCACCAACACATAACCGCAAACCACCCCCAAAGGCCATAAAATCCTTAGAGCCACCAACTGGTTCAGGAGTATCCTGTACCATGTAAACATATGCCATCAAAACAGTACTTTGCACTGAGAACACAGTTTAGGACATGGTATTTTAAAACTATTTAGGTCAATTATTACTTGTTTCTAAGTATGAGTTTCACATACCTTCCATCTCCATGGATTGAATGCCAAGGGGTCCTCGTAAACCTTTGAATTCAGGTGCACAGCAGATGGACAGATCATGATCTTTGATCCTTCTGGTATAGTATACCCTGAGTGCATAAGTTCAAAGTGAGGATATATACACTGATCTATTCCTAGGAATACCATACCCTAGTAGAAATTTTTGTACTGCACATGGTGGAAACCAACCATATATATACATACCCTTTATGTGTATGTCCTGGTTTTTTGCTTGTCTGAACACCACCGGAGCGATGTTTGCGAGCCTAAGAGATTCATGTATAACCTATATGTGATGTAGAAAGTATATCAGGTGCCAGATAACTATTGGATGGATTCTTCCATGGACCAGAGATACATTTGAGAGTTTTTGTTTGTTTTTTACAATTTTATATATAGCACATACATGAGATGTGAATTTCATAGACTTGTACTCCTCCCAGGCGATATCCGAGTCTGACTCCACCCTTCTTTCCATGATTTTTTGATGCTCCTCCTGAAAACATTTCACATCAAATACATCTTTGACTGACACAAAAGAGTTGTGGCGATAAAGCGTTTACTTACGGTCAATTCTTGCAAGGCTTTTGGATTGTCCGTTAGAAACTTGAGTATCGCGGTCAGTCCCATCGACGTCGTCTCGTGGCTTGCAAAGAGGAGCAAGAACAATAAGTCCAACGCGATGTTCTCGTTCATTATAGGGTTTGGCTTCTTCATCTCATTGATCACAAGATCGAAGAAATCCACGGTCTTGCGCTCGGCTGCGTTCCTGCGCTCATCGAGCTGCTGCTTGAGTACCTTCATGACGTTCTTGCGTCCCTGTGGATATATTATGTAATATTGTTGGAGATTATAGATGAATTGATTAGGTGACATGAGTAGCACTCTTCTGGTCCTAAAAGTTTGACTCCCGCAGGTTGAGTTTTTTTAATTAAACTCGATCAGACGGTGTCAAGTCACGTTGCTTGTCATGCATGTACCTGCATGCATTTATAGAAGGCTGTTCCAGGAACGCAGATTGGGAATGACAACAGCCCCTTGGTCCAGGCGTCGAAGCATTTCCACAGGCTTCCTCCTGATGCCACGTCGTCGTGGCTGATCAGCTTCTTTGCCGTGACGCCAAATATCATCTGCACGCGCGCATAGATCGATCGATGATGGCATGATGCAAAAGCATAAACGACACACGCAGTGCATACAAAAGCATAAACGACACACGCCGTCCTAGAAGTATTACCCTGGAGGTGGCCGTCCTGACCTCGACGTCCGGCCGGTCGAGCCATGAGCGGAGCTCGTCGCGCGCGCTCCGCTGCACGTCGTGGAGCAGCACCAGGCGGAGGGCCTCGGGCCCAAAGAGGCGGAGCACGAGGTTCCTAATGTGGTGGTGGAGCGGGCCGAGCATGGAGACCATGTTGTTAGCGCCCAAGACTCGCATGAAAGAGGAGGGGTACCAGATCTGGAAGCCGCGCTCCTCCTGCTGCAGCACGCGCGCGTTCAGGTCCGGGTCCAGCGACACGATCATGTCCTCGCCAACTATGTTCGTCCGGAAGATGGGCCCGAACCTGCAGGCAAGGAGCCAACGACGTCGACGGCCGGCACTTACCTTATTAGATGCTGGTGGTCACTTACATAAAATCATCTCAAAGGGCCTAGTATATGGCACCTGGTTGGTAAAGAATTAAAGTCGTGGAGTATATATTATTATTATTATTTTCTGGTGGTAATATATGTACTTATACTGGGTTATTAATCAACTATTAAAGAGTTGTTCTTGCGATCCATATATTAGGCCTCGTTCGGTTTGCTTGGGAACGATTCCCAGCCGACGTTTCCTTCGATAATTTAAATAACCTAGGAACGGTTCCAGCCAAGAACAACCCGGAATGGGGCTAACCGAATGGGGCCCTAGGCAGTTCCAAATAATGGACGATTGTCAAGTGTGTCGTATTTCCTTTATTGGTGCACAATTTTACTTCACGGTTTTATTGGTTGTCCAAAAGCATTTAATGTTTTTATGATGTACGTTGAGGTCGTAATTCTTGGAGTTGAATCGAGTTACTTCCACTGGAGTTTTATTTCCAGTTTAATTTAATTTCTACATCATGTTTCACCCTGGTCAAACTCAAGCCTGCTCTCTTCTCGTAAATTTCATACGGTGTCCTGGTGACGCTCCAATAAAACTTGCACTTAAAATGGCGCACACAAAGTGGTATATGTGCCTATAATAAACACAATATATATAATAATAGACATATATATGGTAGTACTAAATATGTATACCTCTCCAACCGTCGCTTGAAGAAGGGCACTAGCTCAAGGGTCGGGGACGCTGCGAAGAACTCGAGCGTCTCACCGAGGAGCGGCAGGCCCCTGGACCCCGGCGGCAGCATCCCTTCTTCACCCGTCCGGCCGTTCATCCATTTGAAGGCCAAACGGAGAAGCAAGATAGCTCCCAGAGTCACTGACAGAACAGCCAAGTAATTCATCGACATTGCTAACAATGTATAGTACTTGCTCTGCAACTCGGCTACCTATGCCACCTTTATTTGCTGTTTACGGGTGCGGCCTGCCAGTCATATATATATAGCAGCTAGCGCCAACTGATGATAGATCAGCTAGTTGGGTTCTGTGCGGTGGAACATGTCCACCCGGTTTTAAATCCTCCGGCTAGCTGATGATAGATCAACTAGCCGGGGGCACTCGACGAAGATCTAAAAACACTCGGCAAAGGATTTACCGAGTGTTACACTCGGCAAACGACACTCGGCAACCCCTTTAACGGCAAACGCTTGTTTGCCGAGTGTTTTTTTATCGGACACTCGATAAAGATGTTGCCGAGTGCAAAAAAAAAAACACTCGGCAAACTTTTTTTAAAATAAAATAAAAAAGGCAGGCCACCATCCACGCTCGCACCACCAGCACCGCCACCACCATCCACACCTGGGGTGCGCCGGCCACCACCACCACCGCCACCACCACCACAGCCACCACCACCACCACCACCACCACCCACCACCACCACCACCACCACCACCACCACCATCACCACCACCACAGCCACCACCACCACCGGGAGAAGAAGAAGGGGAGGGGAGGGGCCGCCGCCATGGAGCCCGCCGTCAGATCCACGGATCCACCGCCACCGGGATCCAACCCACCGGATCTGCTACCGAAGGACACCTCTCCGCCGGATCCGCGTCGTGGTGGCTCCATCCCACCAGATCCATGATGCCACCCCCGGCGGTGGAACCACGGGAGGGAGGAGGGCGGATCTACATCGCCACCCGCTGCTGCTCCGCATCGCCGGGAAGGGCCGAGCCGCCCTACGCCATCGCCGGGAAGAAGAAAGGGAGGGAGGGAGGGGCGGATCCAGCGTGCCGCCATGGGAAGAAGAAGGGAGGGAGGGAGGGGCCGGATCCGGCAAGCCACCAAGGAAGAAGAAGGAGGAGGGAGGAGGGCAGATCAGCAGCCCGGCCGGAAGAAGAAGAAGGGGGGAGGGGCGGCGGAGGAGGAGGGAAATCGTCGGGCCGGGGCTGGGGCGGGAAAGGGAGGAGGGGGGTGTGGGGCGAATGGGGATGGGAGGGGGAAGGGACGAGGGAAGCGAGGGAGGAGGGGCGGTTTTATTGTGGGTGGGGTTTTTATTATTTTTTTACTTTGTCGAAAGTGTTGATTTTTTCAGACACATGGCGAACCTCTGTTTGCTGAGTGTTTTTTTCCTGACACTCGGCAAATCCTCTATTTGCCGAGTGTTTTTTGTTTGACACTCGGCAAACTTTCCTCTTTGCCGAGTGTTTTTTTTTTGCCGAGTATTTTTAGGATAGCACTCGGCAAATAATTTGTTCGTCAAGTGCCCGAGGGAATACACTCGGCAAAGAAATAAACACTCGGCAAAATTGAGGATTCTGGTAGTGGTAGGGTTTACGTACGTATGTTCATAGGGGTGAGTGCGCGTACATGTTGTGGCCGTCTGCGTTATACTGTGTAATTCTAAAAAAATATATACTCCCTCTGTCCCAAATTATCTGTCGATTTGGGTTTCCGTGCCGTAAGTTTAACTCGATTTGTAGAAAATACGTGCAACATTTGTATTTCCAAATAAATTTATTAAAAAACTAGAGTCAAAGATCTTTCCAATGATACTAATTTTATACCATAAATATTAATATTCTTTAATATATATTTTATCAAAGTTATTTCTCGTAAAACGAAAACGACAGATATTTTAGGACGGAGTGAGTATATAGCAGCTAGCAGAGTAGCAGTAGCTATAGAAATGCTTGCCAGATCAGGAATAGAGAAGGTTGTTTCTGTGTCGTACACGTGAGGATCCAAACGGCGTCCCAAACTTATACGTGCGGAGGGAGCCAGAGAGTCGAGGATGCACTCGACGACAGCATTAGCGCTGGCGAAGTTATAGGATGCAAGTGGCAAAACCATCCCACTCCGCACCCATGTTGTGGCACGCCCCGCACTAGCTCGAGCACGTCACGCCACACCACATCGTGTTGTGGTGCAGCCCATGCTTCCGTGCACATCACATAACGTCACGCTCATGCCTCGCATCGCCACGGCACGGCTCGGCGGCGGTGTGCGCCTGCATGCGGCACACCCTTCATCTCTCTCAACTTCACAACAAATCCATGTATAGATCAGCTATTTAAGTTGAGTCAATATTTAGGCAAAATATCATACTACGGAACTAAAACTATATTGCACCTTGTATTTAATATGGACCTTAAAATTTATTTGATTTAATTGAACTAAAAATAGGCCAAGTCCAAATTAAATCCAATTGATCCCTCACTATTCTTAGGTTTTTCCTTAAAAGCATACTAGAATCATAAGGCATAGGAGCAGGCTTACAGTCACTAAACTCGAAGCAACTCAAAAATAGCTTTTCACACTAAGAGAAGCACCGGAACAAAGCCACAACGTCACTGGCGACCATTTCATGGGAGCTCATCATCTATCCTGCCAATGCGCACACCTTGGTATGCTTCTCAAGGTAGGCTTAATTTAATGATTTATGGTTTTTATATAGTCTTTGAATGTTTCATGAAATTCTATATTCTAGTTCGGCTTTATTATTAAGGGAACATAATATTTATAATCAAATATTATGGCCGTGTCTTGAGAGTTATTATTGAGCATACTTGTGTGTATAAAAATGGTCGAAATATTTGATGAAGAGGACTAGTTATGTGTCAGATGTTAGATTTTTATTTTGGCTATAATAACATGCTCAAAAGAAACATGTGGACTATACTTATGGCTAATATTTTGTGATCGCTCTTAGATAAACATGCTTGATATTTTATTATTACCCATAAAATAAAATATAAATGTGGCCTATGGATGTGTTAACATCGTCCTAAGTTTTAGATAAAAGAGCAGATTTTTATTTTTTGGTACACAAGCAAACATGGGGCAAGTGTTGACACTCAAATTTGGATCCTGTTATAAGCTTACGTAAAGACCGAGATTTCGTGATCGTTTAGTTTGATTAATTTGGCTGTAGAATGATGTTGTTAAGATGAAGTGTTTGGCCGATTGATTGCTTTATTATTAGGTAGTGATATTGATTAATTAGCATAATGGACAAGCTAGAGAAGAAATAAGAATGATTATGTGCATCCATGCGTTGCACGAGGTTATGCTGAGTGAGACAAGCATGGTATACTATTAAAGTCTTGTTTAGATATTCATGTATTCACCTCGATCTAGCATGTGTACTGGAGTGGTATAGTGTGAATGTAAACTAATTAAATTCCACACTAAAGCACTCCAACACACATGGATTTAGTTGTATACATGGGTATCTAAATAAGTTATAATTAACATAATGGACAAGCAAGAGAAGAAATAAGAATGATTATTTATATCTGCATACACGCGTTTCACGAGCTTCTGCTGAGTGAGACAAGCATGATAGCCTATACAGGTTTCTGTATAGGCAAGCCATGTTTGTTGTCCATTCTGTTTGTCCTCTCCAGGGACTCCAAGAAATTGTTGTCAGAATTTACGCAGGCGTGTGTCCGTTGGGAAGTCTAGGTGTGTGCAGCACGTTAAAATTAAAGAAAGCACGTTTGACTGACCAGCTTGAGTCCGACTTGATTACTGCTAATCTAGTCTGTTTCAGTGCTGAGATATAAGTATAATATGTATATACATACAAACAGTTAAATTAAAGGTGAGGCAAGTCTAGGATACGTATGCGCAGCTAGATTGCATGTACAGAGGAGAAGCAACCACAAGCATACGTACTAAAGATTTTGTGTATATAATATTTTCCAATGGAAGACCCCGTATGTTCTAAATCAAGTGGTTGTGGGGATACGGGTCTTTTATTGGAAATATTATTTCCTTTTCGTGGCACCATCGCACAAAATCTTGAGTACCTATGCTTGTGGTTGCTTCTCCTCTTTCCTTTGTTTCTTTGACTGATGCCGTCGTTTCATCAGGTGCAACTTGCAGCGCACGCACGAGTGAAGGATCCATACCTGAAAATCGGTTGTACCGGGTAGCGTGTTCGTGCGTTCCTACGAAATAACTAACAATTTATACTAAAAACATACGGATCGTACGATAAGATAATAATATTGTTAAATTAGATACCAACGTTAAGGTGACATTTAATCCAAAAAACAAAGTTTATGAATTTAACACAGTCACGGAGTGCGCGGCGTCGCAGGCTCACAAACTCTAGAGCTTCCAGAGATTGGGTCGAATCCAACCTAGAGCCTCGGAACCCTACATCTTTTTCTGGACGGGCTTCACTTTGGATGCGCCGGTAGTAATATCAACGATCTCCAGTCGATGGACCAAGTCGTATGGATCCCTATACAATGGCTCAGACATGTAGATTTTGTTCTCCTTGTACTTGGATACACTTGTTTCACTGAAGATTTCATTGAAATGTTTAGACACGAACAATGTCTGATCACCGATGTCCCTCATCCTAGACCACTTCGGCGTACGGTCCTGGAGGTTGCACTTATAGATTACGCTGCTGTAGGTGAAGCTATGTGTCTCGTGGAACGTGCTCACCATGGCACCCACAATGTGCAGCTCACCGTTTGATTCCAGGTAGCTGCGGTGGTAGAGCCCCGCAGGTGGCGACAGCGATGGCAGCATCGTCACGGTTGGAGTAGTGCCGGTGGCGTTACTGTTGTAGATGGAGATTTCTCCAGTGCAGTCGATCGCCAAGAACTTGTCTTGGTAGTGGACGATGGACCCCACGGAGAACTCCAGTTTGGTGTCGAGCAGCGTCCATGCGTTGTCGACTCCAATCCGGCAGAACGCGACCTTCGTGGAGCACCCAAGCATGGCCATGGCCACGCACTCACGGCCAGCGGCGTCAGGCGGCGCCGAGAGCACGATCTCACGGAAGAACACGTCCCTCATGTCTTCTAGCTTGATGGCTCTGCCTACGGCATCCGTATCCCCGTAGCTGTTGGTGGGATGGAGGACCCATCGGCCGTGGACCCTAGACACGCGTTCCAATGAGGACGTCGACGCGACGTGTTCGCCTGCTAGCGGGAGCTCAACGCGGGGGGCACGGGCACCGGCAAATGGATTCAGCAGCGTCATGGACGCCACCTTGTCCATGAGCGCCAGCCACCCATACGAGGAGCCGCACGCCACCTTGCCGCGCACGTCGGGCAACGTCTTGGACAAGACCTTCTTCTTCGGGACGCAGTAGAAGCCGACGCGGTTCGAGTCGAGGTCGAACGGGAGCAGCAGGAGCGGCCCGAAGGTCGCGAACGGGACGGCAGCGCGCCATGGGGAGCAAGCGGATCGGAAGGACGCCGCGTCGTGGCCTAACGCGAGACGCTACCTGATGGACTCGAGGAGATCCTCTGGCGGGCCAGATCTCCAGTCAGGGAGAGGTAGGGACCTTCTCTTAGGATTGAGAGGCTGAGTCATGGAAGACAGATGATATCAACTATGGTTCACGCAAGAAACAGCAAGCGAGGGCGATGGAACACGTGAGCGTGAAACCAAATGAAAGGAGGAAAAAGTTGTCCCTTTTGCAAATACAAAGAGAGGAAGTAATTAGATGTAGGCAGATTTGGTAAGGTTATCAGAAATGCAAAGATGTTTCTTTTGTCTTAATTCTCTTTCCTTCTGTGTTAATTCTCTTTCCTTTTCCTGTTTGCCATGTATGCTGGTGCATGCAAACATGCAATGTGTATATGGATAACACAATAATTTTGTACTTCCTATTTTGCCATGATTCCTCTATCATATGACAGACAATATTCAATCAAGGAGATGTCATGGGATCGTAGGTGTGGTCAGACAGACGAACCAAAATAAATATCGCACAAAAAATGTCCACACTCTATTCTTTTTAGTTGTAGAAGATACATAGCTGCACATGC